ACACTGAATAACAGTCTTGGCCAATGGACAGTTCATAACCTAGGTATTTCCCTTACAAAGTGGGGTAGGACCACTCTGATTCCCCTCAGCTACTTCACAGGAGTCTAGGCTATGGATCTAAGCTCCAAGTCATCAAAAATTGCACATTGCTAGATTTTCAGCTCACAACATTTGTGGTATGATGTAATTAGCCTGCACTTTCTTAAACTTAGACATGGTCTGCCTCAAGCATTGTGCTCTTTTAAAGAACTATGTATAAGGGATTAAATTGATGACAACAACAACTGAAAGGTTAGATCGGAAATTTGGGTGGCAGTGAGTTTATGTCAATGAGGGAGGAACAGTTCAGAAAATGAGTGAGAATGGTTGCACAACTTGAAGAATCTAATAAATGTCACTGAATCGTATGTGTAGAAATTGGTGAAGTTGTGCATGTTTGCTTTGTATATTTTCAACAACAGTAAAAAAAATTAGACGTGAGGGTTGTAAAGAGCTAGGTGAACTAGAGATGCTGGACTGATGTGTAACGGACTTCATATCTTTTCAGCCAGGTATTGACCTTCTGAATTGTCTACATGTCTCCTCCTTGTCCTTGCCTACTCCCTATAATGGGTGGTTTGAATTAAGTGACCTCTGGAGCTTTATAGAAGGAGCTGTGGTGGTGCAGTGGGCAAGGCATTTGGCTGCTAACCAGAAGGTTGGTGGTTCAAACCCACCAGCTGCTCCACAGGAGGAAGATGGGCAATCTACTTCCGTAAAGATTTACAGCCTTGGAAACCCCACGGGGGCTGCTGTGAGTCAAAATTTACTTGATAGCAGTGGATTTGGTTTGGTTTGGGGCTTTATAGAGAGTCCCTGAGTGATGCAAATTGTTAACATGCTCTGTTGATATGCTGTTGGAAAGATTGATGGTTCAAATCCACTTAGAAGTGCCTTGGAAGAAGCATCTGGTGATCTTCTTCCAAAATATCAGCCATTGGCATCCCTATGGAGCACAGTTCCATTCTGACACACTTGGTGTTGCAAGGAGTAAGAATCAACACATTGGCAACTGTTGTTTTCTGGGGGGGAGGCGTTGAGGGGTTCTACAGCGACAAGTCACTCTTCTCCCTCTTCTGTTTTCCCCATGTTAATCAGCACTCCTCTCTTCTTCAGAACAATTTCATGGGACACTTCCTTGTTTCCCATTGTTTCTTATTAACTTGTCTCCCATTTAATACTTAATGTCAATTTTTAGGATTAGTTAGGGACTTAATGAGGAGAAAAATCACATTTTTTTTGGATAATAAATCCTGTCATGACTGTCAGAGCTCTTGTATTATCCTTAAAAACTTGAGAATCCAAATCGCCCCTTGCTCTTCATTTTCTTATTAGGATTGTCTTCTCTTCTTGATCTCTTTGTGGAACTTTATCATCTTTCTTTTGAAAGTTTTTTTTTCTTTTAATTATTTAAAATTTAGACATTCAGACAGGAATGTTATAATTGAAAACAGAGTTTGTCATCTGAATTTCCACTCCACCTATATTAGACCAGTTGAAGTCTGTAGCCCTTACTTTTTTCCATTCGTAAAACTGGGGTTAAACACATTTATATCATAAGTTTGTTGTGAGAACAAATGAGATGTTTGAAAAGTGCTTTGCACAAGGCTCGGCATCAAGTAAGCAATTGATTATTATGATTAAAATACTTAATACTAGTATAAGAAGTCCTCGGAAGGAAGGTTGGGCAATCCTACTTCCGTAGTGATACTGCCTCGGAAACCCAAGGAGGGGTCGCTATGAGTCGGGGCCGACTCGACGGCACATAACAACAACAACAACAAGTGTAAGAATTAGGTATTTTTCAATAAAAATTTAAAAAGAAAAATAATACCCAAGTACACACTGAAGAAGAGCATCTTATATCAATTTAAGTTGCAATTCCCTGTCAATCTACCTTTTTTCATCCTCCTTTTGCTGAAGTTTGAGAATTGCTCTTTCTCTGTAATCCACAGGGTTCCCGTTACATTATCTTTTTGAAAAATACATTAAGCTACTCAATGTTTGGAGGAAAGATCTTAGTCAGGAAGATTTTTCAAAAAATATTCCAATTGAGTCTCTAGGTGAGATTGCTATATTTGAAGATGAAAAGGACAACTTAACTCTTCCTTATTGGTCAATGCTCTGCTGAGTGATAAGCACAGTGGGGATCGAAAGAAAGGAACCAGAAGTGAACTTTTCTTCATTTTTCCTCCTTTGCCAGATTTTTTCAAATGGAAAGCTTCATAAATGTGGTTCAGTGGTAGAATTCTTGGCTTCTATGCAGGACATCCAGGTTCGATTCCTGCCAACGCCCTTCATGCACTGCCATCACTGGTCTGTCAGTGGGCTAGCACGTTGCTATGATACCGAAGAAGTTTCTGTGGAATTTCTAGACTAATATAGACTAGGAAGAAAGGTCTGGTAATCTTAAAAAAAAAAAAAAAGCCAATGAAAACCCTATGGATCACCATGGGCAACATTTTGTTCATTTGTGCATGAGGTCACTATAAGTCAGGCCATCTCAAGGGCAGCTAACAACAACATGCAATGTGATTTACTTATTTGTTATGTTTATGTTTATTGTTTATTAATGGCTAGAATAGTGCCTGGGATATGTTGCTGTTGTTGTGTGTCCTTCTATTTTTCAAAAGTTAATAAATTGAGATGGTAAGAGGCAGTGTCACCATTCTATTAAATCAATGTTTAAAATGCTTAACTGGACAAACAACTTTGTTATCCTGTCCTTCACACAGTTCCAATCTGGTTTCTTTTTCATATTATTTACTTTATTAGAGGACTTATATCAAAAGGAACCTAGAGATGGCTCTGTACCTAGGAAACTGCTTCCTATTTCTAGGGGATTTCCCACTTCGCCCTTTAGTGCTGAGCACATATTTGCTCAGGATTTCAAACATCATTTTGCATGCCTCAGAAACCTAAGGTGGGGTCTCCGTGAGTCGGATCCGACTTAATGGCAGTGAGTTTGGTTTGATTTTTTTGAAATTATAGGACTAAAAGCATAAACCTAGTATTACACATATTACCAGGAATTTACAGCTTCTTTATGGTGATATAGGTCTCTAGGTGGCAGAAACGGTTGCACTTGACTATTAACCTAAATGTTGGTGGTTTGAATCCACCCAGCACTACCGCAGTGGAAAGGGCTGCCAATCTGCTTTCATTAAGATTACTGTTGTTAGATGCAGAGTCAGCTCTGACTCATAGCTGCCCAGTCCTGCACCATCTTTATGAAAGTTGCTATGTTTGAATCCATTGCTTTGGCTGTTGTGTCAATCCATCTCATTGAGGGTTTCCCTTGTTTTCACTGACCCTCTACTTTACCTACCATGGTGTCTTTTTCTAGGTATTGGTCTTTTCTCATAACATGTTGAAAGTGTATGGAGTAGTTCTAATCCGTAACACGTGAGGTCACCATGATTTGGAATAGGCTTGATGGCAATGGGTTTGGTTTGTGTTTTTTCATAGTGATATGTATCCCCATCTATACACCAAAGGGAGGAAATAACATGACTTGCTTAAGAACTCTTTATATAATAAATGTAACAATCTCCTAGGTAATTAATCTTTTCCTGCAAACTTTTAGCTAATAAGTTAAGAATCTTGCAGAGTTTGATAGGATGAGACACACACCTGAGGACTGGGGTGAATAGTATGGCAAAAAAAAAAAAAAAGTAGCAGACCCAGATTCAATACAATTCATGGTTGACAAGCACTGAGAAAAATGCATGAAGTTAGATACTGAAACAGATATGAAGATGAGCTCACCAAATACGCTACCACCCATACCATCACTTTCCAGGGAGCCATGACACTGAAATAGTCTCAGGAGTCATTTAAAACACGAATGCCACAAGAGGGAAGTGAAATAATAACAAGGATCACAACAACCACTATAACAAGGGCTAACAGGTCTTGGCAACTGATTGTGTTCTAGACATTGTTCAAAGTACTCCATGTGTACAAACTCACATTGTTCTCACAATGATTAAATGCTTTCAATCATCATTTTAGAAGTCCCTGGGTGGGGCAAATGGTTAAGTACTCAACTACTAACTGAAAGGTTGACAGTTCATACCCACTCAGAGATGCCTTAGAAGACAGACATTGAGACATGCTTCTGAAAGTTCACAGCCTTGAAAATCCTATGGATCAATTCTACTCTGTACACATGGGGTTGCCATGAGTCAGAATCGACTTGGTCACAACTAACAACAACAACAGAATCCCCATTTTAGGATCCTTGGGCGTTGGCTGGCTGTTAACCAATAGATTGGAGGTTCCAGTCTGTCCAGAGGTGCCATGGAAGAAAAGTCTCATGATCTACTTCTGAAAAATAAATGGTTAATAACTCTATGGAGCACAGTTTCACTCTGACACACATGAAGTAGCCATGAGTCAGAATTCACTTGATGGCAACTTTTTTGGAGATGAAGCAAATAAAGCTGAGAGACTTGCCAATCTCCCAAGGTCTTAGCTAGTAAGTGGCAGAGGTGCAATACACACACACACACACACACACACACACATACCCTTCATTTGTTTCACTCTCAATTGAGCTAAATCAACATGCTAAATGAGTAGAACCATCCACTGTGGTGAGAAGTGGCCTCATGTTTGGTCATGATTATTTGGGTCCATGCTTACTTGCTTCTATATAACTTGGATCATTATAAAATCTATCAGCCTAGTGTTTATTAACCTAATGTTGACTGGATATTTCAGGTCTCATTAAGGACAAGTAAATAGCATCTCCCACATACATGCAATCTTGTCCCAAGAGAGAAACTAAATCAGTTAATGTTAATCATTTTTATCAGAATTGAGTTTTCTCATGCATTTCACTTAGTCTGCAAATATTTCTTGTTCACCTACCTTGTGCGAGACACAAAGTCTCTGGGCCCTAGGGAGGCAACGAGGAAGCTGCCCTCATGGTCATTATACTCTTCAAAGCTACTTACCATGGTGCTTGTATATTCATCCAGCTTAGCCTCTGAAATGGCCTTTTTGTGGTGGAGGAAGAGATCTCTGAGGAAATTCTGTGGCACCAAGAAAAGAGTCACAGTTTACATAGTGAAGAAATAAGCCAAAGCTCTCAATTCTTTGTTTTAAGAATTGATGGTTCATTTGTTTTAAGGAGGATATAAAAGGTTTTTAGTCAGTAATAAAGCCATGACTAGAGATCTGTCACTGTTTGAAGGGAACTAACTCATGGACCCCAGAGATTAGCTCCAGGAATGAAAAATACATCATAAATCTTCAATTATGTCCCTTTCCCAGAGAGAACAATGTTATCTGCACTTTCTAATGCTTCTAAAACATGCATACATTTTGTAAAAAGTAGAAATTTCAAATCTATCTTTTTTGGACTCATGATACACATATTTATCAAATTCCAAAAACAAACAAACAAAAAAAATTCATGCCATCTAGTTGATTAAGACTCATAGAGACCATATAAGACTGAGTATAACTGTTCCATATGGTTTCCAACACTATAAATCTTTCAGAACCAGACTACTCCATCTTTCTCCCTCAGGGCGGATGGTGAGTTTGAACCACCAACCTTTTGGTTAGCAGCTGAATGCTTTGACCACTGTGCCACCAAAGCTCCTTTATCAAATTCCCAGTGATGAACAAACCCACCCTTCATCTAGCAACAGTTCCCAGAGACACTTACTCGAAGCTCAGCAGCTGATATAAAGCCACTGCTGTCGGCATCATATTTACGCCAAATCTGAAATACACAAGAACAAATAATCCACTCATCATCAAATGATTTAGGGTAAAATATTTAGAAAAATTGGAATCTCTAGAAATTCCTTCCCCAGAGATAATCTCTTACTGTTTCTATGTGTTTCCTTTCCATCATTTTTCTGTTATATATGACAAAACTGAATTGGGGACCATATAGTTTATACATTTGGATGGTCTATTTATATCTCCATTCAAAATTTTCTGTGAATATATTCAACTATAATTAAAATTACTTTGAAAATGACATATAAAATAAATTTCAAAAAATAATAATCCTGTAGGAAATTCTGGATAGAGAGGCAGAACAATGTGGAACAAAACTCAAAAGCATTTGGGGAAGAATAAAAAGGGGTGACCAGGTTTGCTGGTCTGATAGAGCCTGGTGGAACCACTGAGACTATGGCCCCTAGCTGCCCTTCAGGTCTGGAATTGAACCCACACCTGTGGTTTCCAACCAACCAGGAGACAGGCATATGAGTTGAACATTTACCTGAGGTAAATACACTCCTTGGAGAGAACAATCATAGGAGAAAGAAGGGCTGTTTATTCACAGGGAGACAGCTCAGGGGGCAGGAGTGCATGGAGGGATGGACACAGGGAAGAGGTGACTGTTGGGAGAAAGTGGGAGGGAAGCTGTTGCACTGTGATGAATTGTGGTGAATGTCATGAGACAAAGTATATGTGAACTGCTGTATGGAAAGTGAATTTGCTCTGTAAATTTTCACCCAAATCACAATTAAAATAATAATAATAATAATCCTACACACAACTGGAACATACAAAAAATACAAAGAAAACAAAATTTCTTAAAAACAACAGTATTGTTTCTTATGTGTATTTACTTACTCCTTTGTTTATTCAGGGGTAGAATATGCAGGGAAATATTTGCACTTTTTTTTTATACAAAGCTAAGATCATGGTACATATACAATTTTGTTTCTTGAATTTCATTTACTCCATGTTATTAAATATTACTTGAAAATTTGATTTGATCTTTAGCGACACATAATATTTCATGGTGTGATTTCTCTGATGAATCTCCAGCACCTACAACAGTGTCTGGCATATTGCAGGTGCTCATAAGTATTTGTAGAATCAATGAGTTATATAAATGTATCCTAATTTACTTAACTTTTCCTTCATTGTTAGATATACACATTATTTTCAGTTTTAACTAAGTAATACTATATTTAAAAACATCATTATATAGAAAAATTGTGTCTACATCTTTGATTATATCTTAAGATAGATGCTGGTAGAAGTAGAGGTATTAAGCCAAAAGGTAAAGTTTTTTGTTTTTTCAATTAACCCTTGTGGTAATGAAAGTTTAAAGAATCTTGATACACTTTTGCATAATTGCTTTCCAGAAAAATTATTCCAATGTACATGCCTACCAACAAAGCCTGAGTGACAAATGTCATTGCTTTCTTGCCAACTCTGCCTATTTTTGTTAATCCTCTTAAAATCTTTACCACTTTGGTAAAGTTAGTTGTTTCATTTTGCATTTCTTTGCTTATCAACATTTATTGTGGCCCATTTAAATTTGTTCTGTGAATTATCTTGCATGAGTTTTGTCCAATTTTACGTGACCTCCATTGGGCCAGGAGGTAAATGAGGTAGTACACGAAAGAATGTTATTATTTCCTAAGGGGATTTGGTGTCTGTTTGAGGAACGGGGCCCTGGGTGCAATGGCTGTCTTGGCTCTGTTCTTGGGGGCTTTCAGAAACCTCGCTCTGCCCTTCTCTGATCTTTTTAACCAACAGAACCATAACACCTAGAAGCTGAGAGAAGGTGTAGGCAGAGAGAAAGAGACAGGTGGTGTCATTCATGCATTTGGCTTTTACTCAAGACCAGTGATTGCAAACACAAGGCCTGATGGCTGTGTCAACAGTCTATTAAGTTACAGTTTGGAAGGTATGTTGTTGTTGTTGTTATGTGCCGTTGAGTTGGACCCGAATCATAGCGACCCCTCCTTGGGTTTCTGAGGCAGTATCACTATGGAAGTAGGTTTTCCAACCTTCCTTCCGAGGAGTGGCTGGTGGGTTTGAACAGCCAAGTCTTCTGGTTAGCAGTCAAATGCCTCAGGCACTATGCTACCAGAGCTCCTTATACCTTCAAAATAAGTTACCAACATTTAAAAACAGGTAGATTCACATAGATTTTAAGACAGTATTCCCAAAAGGCAACAGTTCACTGAAACTGCACAGGGCTGTAGTTTTAGATGGGGGATGTGTTTTCCACCCTCCACAGTATCCCCCACATACCTTAGCCCTTTTTGTTCTTCAGTGCATCTGCCAGTTCCCCTGTTTAAGCCAGGACATTTTCTAATACTTAGGCAAAGAGTCCAGCAGCTCAAGTCCTGCACACTGAGAAAGCGCCTGGGATTTGGAGGCGAAGTCCCAGCTCATCACTGAGGGTTTCTTTCCTTTGTCTTTGGGACTTAGCAGAATGGGTGGCAGACATAACAGGTAGCTGGAGTCCTGGCCTTGTCTCAACCTTCTTTCCCATAAAGACACAGCCAAACACTCACCTGCATAAACTCCACGCTGCTGTCCAAGGGAGTTTCCCGACGAAAGAGCAGAAGAAAGTTTTCATCCTCGGACAAGAACATGCTGGCAAGCTAAAGGAATGGGAAGAAATAGCAGTCTCTGATGCTGGCCAGTGTCCATTTAAGGAGTGCTCCATGCATAAAAGGCACGGTGCAACATGTTATAGGGCAGAAGGGCTGAGATCCCTCAGGATGGAGAGCCCTACTTGTAGTTCTATGACCTTCATTGCCATTCTTTGGTTCATTGATTCTCTTAAAAATTATTATATCCCTAGTTGTTATGAAGGAGCTCTGGTAGCATAGTGCCTAAGGCACTTGACTGCTAACCAGAAGGCTGGCAGTTCAAACCCACCAGCCACTCCTCGGAAGGAAGGTTGGGCATTCCTATTTCCGTAGTGATACTGCCTCAGAAACCCAAGGAGGGGTCGCTATGAGTCGGGGCCGACTAGATGGCAAAATAACAACAACAACAGTTGTTACGAAGGACTATGCCTATCTGCCTTACATGAGCTTACAATGCAAAATAATAATAATTATATTAAGCAATCAATATATATCAGGGATAGATCTTTCCAATCTCCTCTGGGAGCTGATACTAAAGTTAACAATCTAGGTTCAGTTTGAACAGGATATTGGACAAAGAGATAATTGCATCAAATAACTGAAAGGCCTATAGCTTCTCACTTCTTCAATTGTAAAATAGGTATACATATTGATTAATTTAAATAAAATCATGGAAATTTGCACATTCTTTGACACTAGGGAGATTAAAAAGAAAGAACAATTAGTTCAAAAATGTTACCTATTTCCTGGGTGTGTAGTGGAGCTGAC